TTAAACTGAAAAAACAAATTTATGTTGAAAAGTCTTATTTCAAATTTACAGTGATTAATATGTTTTTTTTTTGTTACCGATCTCAAATTTGATGAGATTTTTATTTTTGGCCATTTTCTTAAACATCTGAATTATTCATTGATTAAAAATTGAATACAAAATATGACAGTATCCTGGTATGATAAAAATATATAAATCACAAAGTATATAATTAGTTAGATAAAGTTATATAAATTTATACAAAGATAAAGTTATATAAATTATTAAATCACAAAGTATATAATTAATTAAAAACAACGAAATATAAAGAAGTATATTTACACAATATTTTTTAAAGCAAAAGTTCGTTAATAGGTTAACAAAACTGTCTTTTTCTTTTTGCATTGTAATTAATCTCAAAATGATGAGGTTATCGTATTTGTTTGAAAATAATTATTCGACAATGGGCTTTACTCATATATCAAAAATTTAATGTAATTTGAATGGGAAATGAAACGAGACACTCGAATAGTTTGGACTTGAATCATCGAGCTTTTGGGGAAAACTTCAAAACTTTGGTGCGGGTTCTAAGTATTGGACTGCGTAAAGCCCAAAATTTTTTTATACCCCATTTTATAACAAAAAAAGAAAAAATTATATATATATTTTTTTAATAAACTGTGATCTTTAACTCATAATCTTTTCGGTATTCGGAGGTAGTCTTTGGATATTTCGATTTAAAAAATAACCCTCCGTACCAGAGAGGGCTTGAACCCGGAGCACAAAGGAACCAACCTTTTCGTGTTAACACTAGACCACCACATATTTGGTTAATTTTTTTTTATCTTATTATATAAAAGAGAATGCAAACGATGAGAACGCGACACATAAGCAAAATTCTTATTCACCAGATCGTGACAAGTGTCTATTGTTGATGATGATGACATATCTTAAAACTAATTAAAAATATATAAAAATAAAAATGAACAAATGAACAAACAATTGTCAAGTAACTAACCAAAGACTCACTCTGTTGTTTTATCTAAAAGCTCGGATATTAAGAAATTAATTTTCTACTAAAAAATACTCTCTTCGTTTCAAAATGTAAGTTATTTTGGCTAAAAATGCGAATATTAAAAAACTACTTTTTTCTAAAAAGTATCATCTTATATATATAATAAAAATAATTTAACCAACGAAAAAACAACTGCAAAATACTATTGGTCACACAATAATCAATAAAGTTAAAAAATACCTAAGATTATAAAAACAACTAATATTTTGAAACATAAAAAACCTCCAAAACAACTTATATTTTGAAACGGAAGGAGTATCATTTAATATATTTATTAAAAATAATTTGACCAGTCATACAAAAGACTGCAAAACACTAGTGGTCACACAATATTCAATAAAATTAAAAAGTACGTTGAATTATCACAACAACTTATATTTTGAAACAAAAAAAAATCTCCAAAACAACTTACATTTTGAAACACAAGGAGTAGCAGAGAAGAAAATTTTCTTATTGTCATACTAATTATAAGAAAAGGAAAATTTCTAATAGTTCATACTATAGAAAAATTTCGTATTGTTCATACTAATTATGAGAAAAGAAAAATTTCTAATAGTCCACACTAGCTAGATTTAAAAAAATCTAATAGTTTAAACTAAATATAAAATTACATTAAGAAAGAAAATAGAGAGACTGCAAACCATAAGAAAAAAAATCAAGTAAAATAAATAAATATTATCGACGAGAGTTTGACACGTAAAAC